GTCTCTGATCTGTGTTGCTCCAGCTCAGCCTTCATAGAGCCCTTTTTCCTCTCCCACTCCTGCTCCTTTCTCTGCAGGGTATTCCTGAGGTCCTCTATGGTCTGAAGGTACCCTGCCTTGTCCTGCTTATACTTCAGATCAGCCTTCTTCAGGGTAACAGTTTGGCTCATACAGAGCTGTTTGTACATCTTCAACTGTGTTGTGAAGATGGTTTTCTCCCCCTGCCACTGCTCCTCTCTCTCATTCTGAGCAGTAATCAGCTCATCATTCTCATGACAGCAGATGTTAAAATTTCCTTCAGTTTGTGTCAGTGTGGACTTCAGTTCTTTGTTTTCACTTTTTATATTGTGAAGCTCAACAACTGACTGCCACCAGCAACATTTGGTGGCTCTTTTGTGTTCCATCGATCTATCACAGGAAGATAATGAAGGTTCTGGTGTTTGGTCCAGAGGATGGACCTTGTTGTTTTTACACCTCTTCTGTGTTTGCTTTTTAGCACTCTTTGTACTCTGTGTAGACCCCATAGTGAAACCAAACTTGGCAATGTTGTAGAGTAGACAACTTCTGAAATCCTTGACTTCAAATTGTAGCTGCTGTGTGAACTGTGGCTCCAAATGTAATATGTGTAGCTGTGGTTTGTCTGTGATGTCGTTAGTTTTACTCCTTTGATGTGTATTCCAATTCTGATGTAATGGTTGCTATAGGATACCGGGCGTGCACATACACGCGTGCATGCGCACTCCAATTCTAGTTCCATGGTTTCTCGCTAACGCTAGATAAAGTAGCCTTACAGCTGCATACACACATAACGCTGCACATTAAAATTTAATTACAAATGTAGTAATCTGATTATTCACAGAATCAGTGTTGTTTTCTTTTGTTTGCCAGAGCGTGTTTTGTCTTTGTGGTGATGCATTGGGGTGTTTGTTTTCGTCACATAGTGGATCATTAGGAAATTTCATGGTTTGTTGTGATGGGTTGAAATATGCAGTTGCACAGTTATAACCGTTTTATATGGGTGTTGAGGAATTTATTGTTGGTATCTCATGGTCTATTATTTTGCAATGTTTTGAGTGTACCACAAAAGAAGACAACCGAAAAAATGGAGAAGAAGAAGAGAGAAGACGCGCGGAGCGGGCGAAGGAGAACTGGACAAGTCACGGCAATGGCCGTATAAGGTGTGTGTCAACTAAAGATTCAAGACAGAAAAGGCGCTCATAATCTGTCTTCAGCAAGCCTGGACAACTGTTCCCTGCTCCAGTCAATCACGGAAGAGTTTGTGAACAACCTGTGCTGCGAGTGAGTGAGTTGAACTGTGTTCTCAAAAAGACGAAACTGAGAAAACTAAGC